GGTCCAATGGGATTCCTCCCTGTGATTTGTGATTATTGCAGTCGGCTCCCAGCTGGAGATCAAGAAACACGAACATTTTTGAGAAAAGCCTAAATATTCTCCAGGACTATAAAGTCAACAATTTGCACAAAAACTGAATATCCAAAATAAATGGATAACATTTAAAATACAATTTGAAGATTATAAACGTCAACAATTGGACGAAAAGAAATACAGAAAATACATGTTTTTAATATTTGTCAGTGTTTTTAAAGTAATGAATTTGAAACAGCCAGAATTTATCTGAGATTGTTGTAAAAAATGCAACAAACTTTTCTTTTGAGAGAATAAATAGGATGTTTCATTTCCTAAATCCTCTCTTTTTAAATCTGACCCCTGTCTCCTGTCTCCTGTTTCCTGTTTCCTGTCTCCTGCTTCCTGTCTCCTGTCACCTGTCTCCTGTCTCCTGTCTCCTGTTTCCTGTCTCCTGTTTCCTGTCTCCTGTTTCCTGTCTTCTGTTTCCTGTCTCCTGTTTCCTGCTTCCTGTTTCCTGTCTCCTGTTTCCTGTCTCCTGTCTCCTGTCTCCTGTTTCCTGTTTCCTGTTTCCTGTCTCCTGTCTCCTGTCTCCAATCTCCAGTCTCCTGTCTCCTGTCTCCTGTCTCCTGTCTCCTGTTTCCTGTCTCCTGTCTCCTGTTTCCTGTCTCCTGCTTCCTGTCTCCTGTTTCCTGTCTCCTGTCTCCTGTCTCCTGTCTCCAGTCTCCAGTCTCCAGTCTCCAGTCTCCAGTCTCCAGTCTCCAGTCTCCAGTCTCCTGTCTCCTGTCTCCTGTTTCCTGTTTCCTGCTTCCTGTCTCCTGTTTCCTGACACCTGTGTTCTGTCTCCTGTTTCCTGTCTCCTGTCTTCTGTCTCCTGTCTCCTGTCTCCTGTCTCCTGTCTCCTGTCTCCTGTTTCCTGACCCCTGTCTCCTGTCTCCTGTCTCCTGTTTCCTGCTTCCTGTCTCCTGTTTCCTGACACCTGTGTTCTGTCTCCTGTTTCCTGTCTCCTGTCTTCTGTCTCCTGTCTCCTGTCTCCTGTCTTCTGTCTCCTGTTTCCTGCTTCCTGTCTCCTGTCTCCTGACCCCTGTCTCCTGTCTCCTGTTTCCTGTCTCCTGTCTTCTGTTTCCTGTTTCCTGTTTCCTGTTTCCTGTCTCCTGTCTCCTGTCTCCTGTTTCCTGTTTCCTGCAGACCCCTTTAATATTTCTGGAGATTATGCAATTTGCAAAAACGTCAAAAAGAGAATACATTTGATTTTTCTTGTTTTTTTTACGCCTTTATTTTCCAACAAGAAAAATCTTAATTTATTCTCTGGAAATAAAAAAAGTTTGTGTGTTTTTTACTTTAACCTCAGAGAGTTTCTGGGTGCTGCAAATTCATGACTTTAAAAAACACTACATTTTTTCCTAAATTTAAGACATTTATTTTGAAAATTATGTTTTTTTTCATCCATTTTTTTGTCGTTTAAATCTGACCCCTGTCTCCTGTCTTCTCTCTCCTGTCTCCTCTCTCCTGTCTCCTCTCTCCTGTGTCCTCTCTCCTGTGTCCTCTCTCCTGTCTCCTCTCTCCTGACTCCTCTCTCCTGTCTCCTCAGACCCCCAGCGCTCCCCAGAGGTGCGGGTGCCCACCCCCGGCGACGCGCTGTCTCTCGGCCCCCTGGTGGAGACGGAGGGCGAGGCGTACCTGGAGAAGACGGGCGGCGTGCGGCGCCATACGGTCGCCAACGTGCACTGTGACGAGGGGGGCGTGGCCTTCATGCTGGGGGCGGGGCCTATGGCTCCCAGGGGGGGGCGCACCGGGGTCACCTGCAGATAGACACTGGATGCAGAGCGGGAAACTGCAGGGACAGGAAGTGACATCACGGGATGGAAAGCACGAGGAGAAGGATCCACGGAAGATCAGGAAACAACGGTTTTCTCTGAAAATTCCACGAAGAGACACGAATTCTCTGACGATACAAACGACTGACTGAACATCAGCGAGCAGATAGACACTCACTGCAATGAGCATGACTGAACATATACAAAACACATTCATAAAATAGACATATGATAATATATATATATAAATATAAATAAGCATAATATATCTGAAGAAATACAGAAAGGACAACAAAAAGACACAAAATGCCAGAAAATAGACAACGACAACAACAACAACAACAACCCTGTGTGACTTCAATAAGACATTTAAATAGATGGAAAACGACTTCAAGGAGACTAAAAAGTGACAGAGAATTCAGACAGGATGAAACAGGACAACAGGAAATCAAAGGATGGGACAGGAAGGAGGAGAAAGTGACAAGTCGACAGGAAAACAGACACAAAATGAATGAAAAGAGACTAAAAACCTGAACATAGTGACGACAAACGACCCAAAAGACAACAAAATCACTAAAAATAGACTTAAACTGACAAAAATTGACCATAATATACACATAGCGACTAGAAAGGACCCCAAAAAGACACAAAATGCCAGAGAATAGACAACGACAACAACAACAACAACAACCCTGTATGACTTCAATAAGACGCAATAGGACATTAAAGTAGACGACTTCAAGGAGACAGAAAATAACCATTAAAGACTAAAAAGAGACAGAAAATTCAGACAGGAAGTGAAAGGACGGGACAGGAAGTGGGGTCTCGATGTAAATACGTTTCTCTTTTAGCATTCTTAATGATTAATAAAGAATATTAAATTAAAAAAAGCTGTGTTTGTTAATCTGTCTGAAACCAGCAGTCTGCTCTGATTGGTCAGCTGGTCATTGGTCTGTTGTGATTAGTCGACGGGCTGCTTAGAGATGTCCCGCCTCCTTAGCCTATATCACGAACAATGTGTTGCCAGCGCTAGCCAATAGGAGAGCAGGGAGTCAAGTTTGAGTGCAGAGGGGATGAATGATTTTGAGAAGTCCTTTGATCAGGTAGAGCATATCTTCGCCCTGATGGCGACAGACGAGATTCATGTGAAGAACAGGACCTGGAGAGTTCAGGATGCTCTCTGCTTTCCACAGACTGCTGGTTACAGAAGGAGTCTCTCTGTTTCACGCCCATGACCTCAGAGCAGGTTGTTCAGGCTGTTCAGGCTGCTCCTGGCTTTCAGTGTGAGGCTGTGGAGCCAGCTGATACAAGAACAACTAATAAGGCTCTCAATGAGTGCTTGGTCAAAACCACAAAGAATGAAAGGCCTGACGGAGAAAGAGTTCAGTTTGAGAAGAAGGTGCATCCTCTGTTGACCCCGCTTCACAATACACTCAGTATTCACATCAAAGTTGAGCTGCTCATCGGAAATGGTGCCCAAGTATTTGTATGATGTGACAATTTCTACCTTGTCATTGTGTATGATGCACTCCTTAGGAACATCCTGGTGACGTCTAAAGTCAATGATCTATTCCTGGGTTTTGGAGACATTTAAATCCAGAGAACTGTCATCACACCAAATACAATCAGTAGAGCACATGGCCTGATTCTGAGCCGCTAAGGAGGGACAAGAGGAAGGGATCATCAGAGAATGTAACCAGGTAGCTGTTGTCTTGCATGCTCCTGCATTTATCAGTGTACATTATAAAAAGTAGGGGCGAAAGAACGCATCCTTGAGGCGAGCCCGTGGAAGTGATGACAGAGTCAGAGTCCATAGACAGACACCTTCTGCTCTCTATTAGTTAGAACGTTTCAAATCCATGAAACAAGTTGATCGGGCCGTTTAAAATGACATACCAGGCTCTCCACCAGGAGATTGTGTTCAATGCTGAAGAAAAGTCAGCAAACCAAAGCCTAGCGTGGGCTCGTGGCGTTTCAAGGTGTTTGTGGAGGGTGTGCAGTGTAAGAAGCTTTGCCTCCTCTACGCCTCTCCCTGCCTGATACGCACATTGGAGACGATCAAGTTCACCACCTACTACTGACATGACATGCCTTTAACAATTTTTTCTAAAATGTTCATTACCAATGACGTTAAAGCCACCGGTCTGAAGTCGTTCAGGACTTTAGGATGAGGTTTCTTAGGGATGGGAATTACAGTTGAGGATTTCCACATATCAGGAATTTGGCTATTCTCAAGTGACAGTTGGAAGATATGCTGGAAAACACCACAAAGTTCGCTAGCACAACACTGGAGTGTACGCCCACAGATATGGTCTGGACCTGGGGCTTAATACCTAATATGGACTCGTTTGAAGAGATTCCTAACATCATCCTGTTCAATGACTGTGTCTGAGAGAGGGGGGAGAGACTCTCTGAGGGTTGAGGTGTTTATGGAGAAATCATTTTTCTGGAATCGAGAATAGAAAATGTTTTCAGCGTTGGGGAGGTCTGCCTCATTTGTTCCCTCAATGCTAATGTGATCCCTCGCCCTGTCATGTTGTTACCCTGGGAGATGGAGGACATCGATTGGATTCCCCTCCAGGCTTCCTGAAGATCTCCACTGCTCTATTTGAGTTCCACCTTATCTCCTTATCTCATTTCTTAATTCTCTGTTCATTTCTTTTTTGTCCTGACTGTTTCCAGTATAAAAGATACGTTTCTTTCTATTGATAACACTCTTTAGTTCCTTCGTGACCCACGGCTTATTATTAGGGAAGACGGTAATGTCAGGATGTTAGACTCCACACAAAATGATATGTAGGATGAGACAGTTGACGTCAGTTCATTGAGATCTGGGGCCTCATTTATAAAGGGATATACGCTCAAAGAATGGCGTACGCCAGTTTCTACGCAATGTTTGCGATTTATAAAATACTAACTTGATGGGAAAATGTGCGGTCCTCCACGCAAACTCTAACCCATGCGTACGCACTAAGCACAACAACGGGAGAGACGAGAAACTGCGACACCGTTGGCAGAAGGAAGAATGGAGAGAAATATGTGGAAATAATACCATCAATAAAATGTTACCTCTCATTTATCAAATATGAAGAATTCATTTTCAAACATTGATTAAAGCCAATCTTTAAATGATGAAACAAACGCCTGTTTGAGACTCCTCAGTGCACACAAACACATAACTTGGAGAAATAAATAAATACGGATATGTTATTTAAAACCACCTCGAATATGTTGTGTTCATGTTATGAAATGTTTTCTCATAAATGATGCGGTAAGCAGGAGGACAGAATTACGTCTAAACTGACGCCGTTTTGCATTTCTATAGGTTGTAGATACGAGCATGGTTTTATATACTATCACGTTTAATCGTGTTTTATGCCGTTTGCCAAGACTTGATAAGTGGCTCGTAAAACCCAGGAGGTATGGAAACTAAGAACACCATATGTGGTAAACAGCTAATATAACACAACACATTGTATTTCCTTTAACTGGTGGATTATGGATATATAGTTGCTGATCGACAGCTGGAACACAAACCACCAAATACAACAAAGTAATTCAGATCCAGTCGTCATGACTACACTCCGGAGGGATTCCCCCATCATTTCTTACAGTTTCTCATCAAGGGGGGGGTCTCCTGTCCCCGGGACAAACACACTGCCTGAGGAAGGTTATGTGTATTTTTTTGTCATTAACTTTTTTCGGACCACTTATTTATTTATTTAGGTGACGATCCGACCTCCATGCTGCTACTCTGGTTCAAACTGCATCCACCAAACAATATGATTTATCTCCACCTCCCCAAAATAACCAAAATCTGACACGGTGTGAGATGTCTTTTTTAGCTGTTCTGTCCTCATTTCCTGCGATCTTCTTCATGCAGTCAGTCAGAATGAATGAATGAATGAATGAATGGGCGTTTGACTATGTATAGGCAAATATGGGCGTTACGAGTCGATTGTGATTTATAAAGGGAAACAGGCGTAGGGAGTGCCGTACGCACTTCCCTCGCCGGTACGCAATGTTTTGTGAATCGGAAAATGGCGGAAAATGTATGTACCTATTTTTGTGCTTTGTACTACGTAAGCAACCTTCCCACGTCAATCCTACGCAAGGCGTTATAAATGAGGCCCCAGAGCATGAGCTATGAAACACAGGGTAAGGTGTCCAACATGTCACCGTTTCTTTTGTGACACTTGTTCTCTGCAGATGGGTTTGTAGATCGGCACCAGAAGAACGCTCGTGTGGTATGACGCTCCAAAAGGGGGCACGGTCAGGGACTTGAACGCACCAGGCACCGTCTTATGTACCTGACAGTGATTAACATCTCCTAAAATAAATGTAGGAGCATCGGGGGAGAGGGAGTCCAGTCTGTTAGTAACTTCCTCAATCAGCTGGGTGGCTGCTGAGGCGCTTGCCCGTGGGTGAATGTAAACACACAGTGAAAAACAGCTGGGGGAACTCTCTAGGCAAGTAGAAGGGGCGAAGCGAAATGGATAACAGTTGAAGAACCCGGAAGTAAGCTGCGCATGGGTTCCCTCGTCTCAGAGCCAATGGGATTTCTCCATCGGATTTTGGAAAATAGCTGGAAATCAGGTCTGTGGTTGAGACACATTGAAGAGACGGATCACGTTTTGTTCAGCCGGATAATCTCCACATGTCTAGCCTACTTTTATAATGTTCTAATCATAAATCTAATGGCCAGAAGCTAAATGCTAACGTTATGCTATAAAGGAACTACAGCCGAGTCCAGCAGCACGACTTCAACGTCACGCCAACTTCAGATCCATATTCAAACATACAGATTCTAAATGGAACGAGTTGAAGCGTTTGTTTGAACAGTTTTCAGGAGGCAGGAACTTGCTTTCAAGCAGAACAGGGCAAACAAACTTAGAGGGGTGTTTACGTGTTTGGCGTAATAACGTACAACGACCTCCAGAACTTCTGTAGTCCTATTCAGCCACTTGGTAACAACCATCGTTTTTCAGACACGTCAACTCACCAGTGGGGTCACCATCCATCCATCCATCCATCTTCTCCCGCTTATCCGTGGTCGGGTCACGGAGGTATCAGTTCCAGCAGAGAGCCCCAAAGGTTCCTTTCCCCTCATCAACCAGCTCTGACTGGGGGATCCCAAGGCGCTCCCAGGCCAGCGAAGAGATGTAATCCCTCCACCTGGTCCTAGGTCTACCCTTCGGTCTCCTCCCAGCTGGACGTGCCTGGAACACCTCCCTAGGGAGGCGCCATGGTGGCATCCTTACTAGGTGCCCGAACCACCTCAACTGGCTCCTTTCGACGCGAAGGAGGAGCGGTTCAACTCCGAGTCCCTCCCGGATGACTGAACTCCTCACCTTCTCCCTAAGGGAGACGCCAGCCACCCTGCGGAGAAAACCCATCTCGGCCGCTTGTATCCGCGATCTCGTTCTTTCGGTCATGACCCATCCTTCATGACCATAGGTGAGGGTAGGAACTAGGGCTGAACAATTAATCGATTTTAAATCGAAATCGCGATTTTAAATGATGAGATTATAAAATCGCAAAGCCTGCGATTTTATTTTACTTTTTTTGTTCTTGTGTGTCAGTCATCCACACCAATCAGAAGGGCTGTGCTCCACATGTACCAGCCATTGTTAACCAATCAGAAGTGGCCCATGATAGAAGGTTATAGACAGATTGATCCAATCACCTGCCAAGTATTTTTGAAAATCAAATCAAATCAAATCAGGTTTTATTTATATAGCACATTTAAAAGCGATTTTTGGTCAGGCCAAAGTGCTGTACATGTAATAAAAACACATTACTACAATCACAATAAACGACAATAAGTTACAACAGATATATATAAAAAACAAAATTAAAATAGAAACACAAGGAAAAGTCAGGAGTCGTGCTCCGCTCTAACTAGAAGGCCAGAGAGAAGAAGTGTGTTTTTAGTTTAGATTTAAAACCCCCTAGGGTCTGGGCCGACCTCACATGGAGGGGCAGAGTGTTCCAGAGTCTAGAGCCAGCTGCTGAGAAGGCTCGGTGCCCTCAGGTTTTGAGCCTGGTCTTGGGCACTATCAGCAGCAGCTGGTCAGCAGACCTTAAAGCTCTGGCTGGGGTGTAGCGCTGGAGGAGTTCAGCTATATAGGCCGGAGCCAGCCCATTTAGGGCTTTAAAAACAAATAAAAGGATTTTAAAATCAATTCTGAACCGAACTGGAAGCCAGTGTAGTGAGGCCAGAATAGGGGTGATGTGGTCACGCTTTTTGTGGCCAGTCAGCAAACGTGCAGCTGCGTTTTGGACTAGCTGTAAGCGTTTAATTGAGGCCTGGTCCATACCCACATACAGAGCGTTACAATAGTCCAGTCTCGAGGTTACAAAGGCGTTAATAACCCTTTCTAAGTCATTAAAAGATAAATACGACTTGGTTTTGGCCAATAGTCTTATTTTAAAAAAGCAGGATTTGACTACAGTGCTGACCTGCTTGTTGAATTTAAAAGTGCTGGTGAAGGTCACTCCAAGGTTCATGACCGAGGGGAGGATGTTTTTTTTGAGAGACCCCAGAATATCAACCGGAGAGGCTGGAGGTTGCGGTCCAAAAAAGATGACCTCAGTCTTGCTCTCGTTGAGGTTGAGAAAGTTTTTGCTCAGCCAGGATTTTATCTCTGCTAAGCAGTCCATCAGCTGCTGTAGTGAGTGTGTGACATTTGCTTTAGAGGCAGATATATCTGTACATCGTCGGTATTTCTGTACATGAAAGTGCCTGCCCTTTCCAAATGGCTTCCAATGGAGCTTTCCTGATGGTTTGGTGAAACAAAGCATCTGAGTCAGGTTAGTGATGCTCCATCACATGTTTCTATTACAGGGTGAAACAAAGCCTCTGAGTCAGGTTAGTGATGCTCCATCACATGTTTCTATTACAGGGTGAAACAAAGCATCTGAGTCAGGTTAGTGATGCTCCATCACATGTTTCTATTACAGGGTGAAACAAAGCATCTGAGTCAGGTTAGTGATGCTCCATCACATGTTTCTATTACAGGGTGAAACAAAGCATCTGAGTCAGGTTAGTGATGCTCCATCACATGTTTCTATTACAGGGTGAAACAAAGCCTCTGAGTCAGGTTAGTGATGCTCCATCACATGTTTCTATTACAGGGTGAAACAAAGCATCTGAGTCAGGTTAGTGATGCTCCATCACATGTTTCTATTACAGGGTGAAACAAAGCATCTGAGTCAGGTTAGTAATGCTCCATCACATGTTTCTATTACAGGGTGAATCTGAAACTGAAGCTTGACTTTAAAGCAACCCAACGGAAGTTTCATGTAAGTTTAGTTCTTTCACTCGTAGCTCGGGCTGCGGGGATGCTAGAGACGGGAGCATGTTCATACGACCTTCCTAGCCGGAGATATGGCCGCATTTTACAATAAACTTCCGTTGGGTCGCTTAAAAACAAATATCGCAAATCTAATCGCAATCGCAATATTTGTCAGAAAAATCGCAATTAGATTTTTCCCAAAATCGTGCAGCCCTAGTAGGAACTAAAATGGCCCGGTAGACAGAGAGCTTTGCCTTCTGGCTCAGCTCTCTTTTCGTCACAGCGGTGCGGTAAAGCAACTGCAGTACCGCTCCGATGCTCCTATTCTCCGGCCCATCTCACGCTCCATTGTTCCCTCACTCGAGAACAAGACCCCGAGATTCTTGAACTCCTTCACTTGGGGTAAGGACTCATTCCCTACTTGGAGTGGACAGTCCATCGGTTTCCTGCTGAGAACCATGGCCTCAGATTTGGAGGTGCTGACCAGTGGGGTCACTGCTGATGGATTTAATGTCGTAGAGCAAACGTGATCCGTCTCTTCAATGCGTCTCAACCACAGACCTTATTTCCAGCTATTTTCCAAAATCCTATGGAGAGATCCCATTGGCTCTGAGACCAGGGAACAGGAAGTGGTAAAATGCTGACTCACTTCCTGGTTTTAGGACGCGTCACTGCACCACTCTATAACGCTGTAAATAACTGTAATTAATTAAAGACGAGTCCGGTGATTGAAATGTGTTTTAATATTACATCCAGAACTACAAAATGAGTTAAAAACATCCAAACACTTTTCGTCGTCATCCTGAACAAATCTGCAATATTTCCCCAATGCATCAAACATAAATGTTTATTCACTATTTTTTAGCATAGTGTGCTAACGGCTAACTGTGTGTTCTCTCTGACGTAGTTTCCCACAAAGCTCTTTATTTATTTCTCACAAACATCTCAAAGACTTGGCACTGAACATGTATTTGATAAAAATCCCTTAAACTGCAGGAGACGAAACTCAGGTCACAAAATAAAGTACATTTGATTGAATGAATATACTTTGTAATGAATGAGTGCTATTCCCGGTGTACTAACGATTTACATAGTATGTCTACGATGTATTTAATTTGGGCTTCTAAAGATACACTAAAAAACTGTTTGTGTAATAATTGTAATATTAAAAAAGTGCTTGACAGAAATATATATTACATAAGTAAACATAAAAAATAATCACGTGTGCCATTTACATTTTATATAGAATTAATTAAAAATCTAAATTATAATTAATTATATTTAAATGTATTATTCACAGTTTTTTGGGTATTAAATATATATATAATTCGTATTTATTATAAGTGGATTAGCAGTAATATATAATATAATTGATAAGAATTGGGAATGATTATTTTTTTAATATATTTGAAAACACTTGAAGTTAAGTTGGAATAAAGTGCATCTTTAAGAAGTGAAAAAAACATTGTACTTCGTTTTAAATACATTTATAGTACTTTAAATATTATAATGTATAGGACATGTATTTGGAGTTCACTTAAAAATATCATTTAATTTAAGTGGGAATAAAGTGCATTTTTAAAAAGCTTAATGCTAAATCTTTAGAAGCAATAATAATATATAATAAGCGAATTAGATAGATTGTTAGTACATTTGAAATAGCACTTGTAGTAATTCTGTGCACAGTAAGGATACTAAATATACTACATTTTTACAATGAGCAGTATTCAGTTTCTACGGAAGAGGATTAGGGACACATGGGAATTTTTCCAAAAATATATATAAAACATTTTTTCTAAAAGAAAATTGAAAAATAGTCAGAATTAAAAAAAGAATTCTCAGAATTACGATTTCATTTCAGAAGTCTTAGATTAATGTCAGAATTTTTCTAGGAATTATGCGATTTTCAAAAAATATATATAATACATTTTTATTCAGTATTCCGACTTTTAGGATAAAGTAAACATTCCGAGATTAAAATCAGACGTAAAAAAAAAAGTTCGTAATTCTGAGAAAAAATTGAGAATTCCGACTATTTTAAGAATTCTGAGAAAAAAAGTCAGAACTCTTCTCAGAATTGCGACATATTTAAAAAAAATACATTTTAACATTTTTTTCCAGAATTCTGAGATTAGAACAGAAATCTGAGGAAGACAATTCTTAAAAATGTTGTCATAAAAATCTCAGAATTCTGACTTTAATTTCAAAACTAAAAAAGAAAATCACATTTTTGGTCAAACCTCCCCAAAAGAATGACACCTGGCCCTGATCCTCTTCCTACATTTCACATTTAAGGAAACATTTATTCAACTTCAGCAGGAAAGGTTTCTCCACGAGATTAAAAACATTTTTGAAATAAAGGCAGCGATTCAACTCGAGTTTAAAACATTTGTTGATTTCATTCATAATGTTCTGTTTTTTTTACAGATGACTTTCTTATTTCTGGCACTTTGTAGGCTTTAAAAAGTATCTGTCTTTGAATAAAAACCGTTGTAAACTAATAACTTTACAACAAAGCAACATGTGTCCTGGATAACTTCAATTAAACTGAGTTTGATTACGAATATCAGATTCCTCCTTATTTTCTGCAGATTGTAAAATCAGTGACATCTTCAGCACACTTTTAATGGAATGATTTAAAGTGCTGTGATTGGATGTTTGATGGTGAAATGCATCTTGGGAGTAGAAGTTGGCTTTTTGTAGCTTTCACTTTAAGAGGTTCATGTCAATTAACAACAAAAAAAGAACATCTATGATAGAAAGTTTCTGTGAACTGACGAAAAGTGAAAGTAAAAAAAAAACGTACAATAAATACAATCTGAAGGAGAGGAGTAAACTACGACTCCCAGGGTGCATTGCAGCTAAAAACATCCAATCACAAAGCTTAAAAATCTGAACAGAAGTTAAACATCTCACTTATGTTTACAGTCTGCCTTTTAAAGGAATTCACTTTTGGATGCTGTGTTTTGAATTAGCACCTCTTGACTTAAATCCTTAGCAACAGCCGCTGAGGCTCATGGGAAATGTAGTTTCTTAGACCATTCAGCCATTTCCGAGATAATAATAAACATCGTTCATAATAAATTATTACAGCTGTTTTCACATCCAACAATGTCAGTATGAAAACCACACACACACACACACACACACACACACACACACACACACACACACACACACACACACACACACACACACACACACACACACACACACACACACACACACACACACACACACACACACACACACACACACACTTGATATTCTACATCTGTTATGTTACAGCATCTCTTCGTCCCTGAACCCTCGCGACCTCTATGTGACGTTTCTTTTGTAACCGGGTCGCAGCGGCGGGTACAGTCTTTGCTCAGCGTCGCCCTCTGATGGACGGACTACGTAAGTGCAGGTCTCTTCTTCCTCTCCCTGATTGGCTGCAGTGTCAGGTTCCTGTCCTCTGATTGGCCAGCCAGCAGGGCAGCTCTCCACACCTGAACAGGATTTAAAAAATATATATTTTCACAATTTATACATTTTTATTTTAAACGTACATTCACATATCTTTACATAATGATGTGTTTCTCATTTATAGCATTGTAACAGTGCCTATGTAGTTTATAATGAAAAGAACAATGAGTATAATTGGAGAGAAAAAAGTCTTGTTTTCTTTTTTGTTTGGATAGAAAATAGGAACAATTTGAGAAAAAAAGTTATAATTCAATAAGTCATTAATAAAAGTCATTTATTTGTAGGAAAAACAAATTAAACAATTGAAAAAAAAGGCGTAATATTTGGATAAATGTTATTGCCATAATACTTTTAGAAAAAAACTGTGTGTGTGTGTGTGTGTGTGTGTGTGTGTGTGTGTGTGTGTGTGTGTGTGTGTGTGTGTGTGTGTGTGTGTGTGTGTGTGTGTGTGTGTGTGTGTGTGTGTGTGACCTCTCTCTCAGGGGGGTCTGGCTGCTCAGGAAGCTCAGCTGCTGCTCCAGACGACAGACTCTGAAAGCCAGATAGCAGGAAGACAAAACCAGCAGGAAGACTCTGAGAGGGGAACAAATACTATATTATGACTTATTATCACATTTAACATCATTCTATATTATTACTATATTATGACTTATTAAAACATTTGATCAGTCATAAGAGACTGACTTTTTTCTACGAAATAATAAACAATGATTTCATTATGATTTATTACAACATACTATGACTTTTTACGTTTTTATTGTATAATTGTATGACTTTTTATGACTTATTACGACATACTATTCTACGACTTGTTGTGACTTATTACAACATAATATACTATGACTTTTTATGACTTATTACGACTTTTTATGACTTATTACAACATTATATAATATGATTTTTTACGTTTTTATGGTATAGTTTTATGACTTTTTATGACTTATTGCAACATATTATATTATGAATTTGTATGACTTATTACGACATACTATTCTATGACTTTTTATGACTTATTACGACATACTATTCTATGACTTTTTATGACTTATTACGACATACTATTCTATGAATTTGTATGGCTTATTACGACATACTATTCTATGAATTTGTATGACTTATTACGACATACTATTCTATGAATTTGTATGACTTATTACACCATACTATTCTATGAATTTGTATGACTTATTACAACATACTATACTATGACTTTGTATGACTTTTGAAGACATAGTATACTATAACTTTTTATGATTCATTACAACATACTTTACTATGAATGTATTCAACATACTGATAATATTTTACGACGTACCTTTAATTTTTCTAGGTGAAACTATAAGATGACTTTTTATAACACTGAACATCATAGACCTTTCCAAAAAATATTTTACATTGTACTATCCCAGGACTTTTTAGGAAATAAAATGTAAAAGTATGTCATAAGAAAATATTTTTATTAAATCATAGTATGTCATAAGAAAAGTTCATTTTATATTATGCTATAAATAAAGGTCTCACAAAATGAATTGTATGGTATGTTATGGAAGCGTGATTGTCCATGTAATGCATGTGGAATCTATGCAACCAGCAGGGGGCAGCAGAGACCAACACAACACACACTTCAATCTGAATCTACAGACTGCCCTGAACACACCTAGCAGTTCATCATCCTCTCTGAACTATCTTAGAGAGTACTGATTGTTTTACTGTGAGGTATTTCTGGATTACTGGCAGGATTACAGAGACATTAAAAACCTTAAAAGAGCCACTATAAGCTATTTTTAGGTTTTTAATGTCACTGTAATCCTGTGACATTTGTTGTAAAGGATCAGATGTTATATTTTCTCTGTAAGCTGTACTGTTCTGTTAATACTTTAAATCTCTATGCCTACTGCCTGAATCTGCTTTATTAAATATTTATTTCTTTTTTTACACGTGGCCCAAATCATATTCTTAAAAAAACTCTCAGAATCCTGATTTATTTTCCCTTTCCTTTTTTTTAATCAAAAATCTAAAAGTTTTATAAAAGTTCAGACTTTTTTTCACAAAATCCAAAAATGTTCTCGCAAATCTCACTTTTTTCTAATTCCTGAGTATTTATATAATTCTAACTACTTTTTCAGAATTCTCGCTTTTTTACAAAAATCTAAGTTTTTATAAAAATGTGGACTTTTATCAAAATGTTCGACTATTTTTTCTACATTTTATTTTTTTCCTCGAAAATATAACTATTTCTCGACAATGTCAATTCTTGAGTTTTTATAAAATGCTCACTTCTTATAAAACTGAGTGGATGAGCTTTTCTGTCTCTGTAAGCTGTTCTGTTCTCTAATTCTTAAAGTCTGAATCTCTCTCTGTTCTGCCTGAATCTGCTTCATGGTTTTCACTTTCTTTGCTTCATTTGTTCTGTTTTTAATTCAGCAGGTGAACCTATTTGTTCATAAAACAGTGTGTGTGAGCTTGTGTGTATGAAACTAAAACAGAGCATTTCCTGTCAGATCAGATGTCACTTCTGCTTTTTTAAACTGTAGTTGGTGCTCATGTGTTTCAGTGTTAGACTACTGACTGAATCTGCGGAATAAAAGGCAGGTTTTCCTTTTGAAAAAATCATTTCTGATCCTAAATATCTTTCTTTTCTAAGGTCACGTTGTTCTGTTGTCTTACGCAATACTCAACAACATCTTATTGATATTTTCTCTTGTTTTTATTTGCATTGCATTTGATATTGAGGTTAAATGACTTTTATCTGATACTCAGATTAGGTTACTGATTCATTCACAGGTAACTAGTAGTGGTAATGGATTAGATTAAAGTGGGACTCACAGCAGGACGAAGAGCTTGAGCAGCTGGTACTCTGATTGGCCCAGTTCAGGGACTGGTTCTGTCAGCAGGGTCTTCTCCGTCTCCAAACTGCTGTCTGCAGAAACAACGGGAACGTTACTGAAGAGTCAGGGAACGTTACTGAAGAGTCAGGGAACGTTACTGAAGAGTCAGGGAACGTTACTGAAGAGTCAGGGAACGTTACTGAAGAGTGAGGGGACGTTACTGAAGAGTCAGGGGACGTTACTGAAGAGTGAGGGAACGTTACTGAAGAGTGAGGGGACGTTACTGAAGAGTCAGGGGACGTTACTGAAGAGTGAGGGAACGTTACTGAAGAGTGAGGGAACGTTACTGAAGAGTGAGGGAACGTTACTGAAGAGTCAGGGAACGTTACTGAATCAGGGAACGTTACTGAAGAGTGAGGGAACGTTACTGAATCAGGGGACGTTACTGAAGAGTGAGGGAACGTTACTGAAGAGTGAGGGAACGTTACTGAAGAGTGAGGGAACGTTACTGAAGAGTCAGGGAACGTTACTGAAGAGTGAGGGAACGTTACTGAAGGGTCAGGGGACGTTACTGAAGAGTGAGGGAACGTTACTGAAGAGTGAGGGAACGTTACTGAAGAGTGAGGGAACGTTACTGAAGAGTCAGGGAACGTTACTGAAGAGTCAGGGAACGTTACTGAATCAGGGAACGTTACTGAAGAGTCAGGGAACGTTACTGAAGAGTGAGGGAACGTTACTGAAGGGTCAGGGAACGTTACTGAAGAGTCAGGGAACGTTACTGAAGAGTGAGGGAACGTTACTGAAGAGTGAGGGAACGTTACTGAAGAGTGAGGGAACGTTACTGAAGAGTGAGGGAACGTTACTGAAGAGTGAGGGAACGTTACTGAAGAGTCAGGGAACGTTACTGAAGAGTGAGGGAACGTTACTGAAGAGTGAGGGAACGTTACTGAAGAGTGAGAGAACGTTACTGAAGAGTGAGGGAACGTTACTGAAGAGTGAGGGGACGTTACTGAAGAGTCAGGGGACGTTACTGAAGAGTGAGGGAACGTTACTGAAGAGTGAGGGAACGTTACTGAAGAGTGAGGGAACGTTACTGAAGAGTGAGGGAACGTTACTGAAGAGTCAGGGAACGTTACTGAATCAGGGAACGTTACTGAAGAGTCAGGGAACGTTACTGAAGAGTGAGGGAACGTTACTGAAGGGTCAGGGAACGTTACTGAAGAGTGAGGGAACGTTACTGAAGAGTGAGGGAACGTTACTGAAGAGTCAGGGAACGTTACTGAAGAGTCAGGGAACGTTACTAAAGAGTGAGGGAACGTTACTGAAGAGTGAGGGAACGTTACTGAAGAGTGAGGGAACGTTACTGAAGAGTCAGGGAACGTTACTGAAGAGTGAGGGAACGTTACTGAAGGGTCAGGGAACGTTACTGAAGAGTCAGGGAACGTTACTGAATCAGGGAACGTTACTGAAGAGTCAGGGAACGTTACTGAAGAGTGAGGGAACGTTACTGAAGGGTCAGGGAACGTTACTGAAGAGTCAGGGAACGTTACTGAAGAGTGAGGGAACGTTACTGAAGAGTGAGGGAACGTTACTGAAGAGTGAGGGAACGTTACTGAAGAGTGAGGGAACGTTACTGAAGAGTGAGGGAACGTTACTGAAGAGTGAGGGAACGTTACTGAAGAGTGAGGGAACGTTACTGAAGAGTGAGGGAACGTTACTGAAGAGTGAGGGAACGTTACTGAAGAGTCAGGGAACGTTACTGAAGAGTGAGGGAACGTTACTGAAGAGTGAGGGAACGTTACTGAAGAGTGAGGGAACGTTACTGAAGAGTGAGGGAACGTTACTGAAGAGTGAGGGAACGTTACTGAAGAGTCAGGGAACGTTACTGAAGAGTGAGGGAACGTTACTGAAGAGTGAGGGAACGTTACTGAAGAGTCAGGGAACGTTACTGAAGAGTGAGGGGACGTTACTGAAGAGTGAGGGAACGTTACTGAAGAGTCAGGGAACGTTACTGAAGAGTGAGGGAACGTTACTGAAGAGTCAGGGAACGTTACTGAAGAGTGAGGGGACGTTACTGAAGAGTGAGGGGACGTTACTGAAGAGTCAGGGAACGTTACTGAAGAGTGAGGGAACGTTACTGAAGAGTGAGGGAACGTTACTGAAGAGTGAGGGAACGTTACTGAAGAGTGAGGGAACGTTACTGAAGAGTGAGGGAACGTTACTGAAGAGTGAGGGAACGTTACTGAAGAGTCAGGGAACGTTACTGAAGAGTGAGGGAACGTTACTGAAGAGTCAGGGAACGTTACTGAAGAGTCAGGGAACGTTACTGAAGAGTGAGGGAACGTTACTGAAGAGTCAGGGAACGTTACTGAAGAGTCAGGGAACGTTACTGAAGAGTGAGGGAACGTTACTGAAGAGTCAGGGAACGTTACTGAAGAGTGAGGGGACGTTACTGAAGAGTGAGGGAACGTTACTGAAGAGTGAGGGAACGTTACTGAAGAGTCAGGGGACGTTACTGAAGAGTCAGGGAACGTTACTGAAGAGTCAGGGGACGTTACTGAAGAGTCCAAAGGACTACAAAGAGACTCAAAATGTCTACACAAAGACTCAAAAGGAGTACAAACTGACACAAAGAGACTCAAAAGGACTTCAAAGACAATCAAAAGGAAAACACACACAGGTTGTACCTGTGAGTGTGTGTGTGCTGAAGGGTGTGTCGGCCACGAGGCTCGGGGAGGAGTTTCCCAACAGGTCGGGCAGCGAGGAGGAGACGGCGGGAAGAGAAGGCTTCCTCCTCCACTTCAACACCTCGGGAAACTCGTCCTGAAGACAGGAGACAGACTGTCAACACCGAGACAAAAACACACATTTCATCATTAAAAATCCACCGTGAATGAAGCTCATCAAGCTAGAAGCTAAACGTGAGGGGGTCAAACTCAAGGACTTCATTTAAAGAATAAATTACGTTTATTATACGGTTACAGAAGCACGTGGACCATGAACTACATGTCCCACAATGCATCTCATTTTGTGACACTGAAGAGACTTGCAATTATTTGCCCTAGACTTCTGCTTTCAGACGTAGTTAATTAGACTCAAAATAACTACAAAGAGACTCAAAAGGACTTCAAAGAGACTCAAAAGGACTTCAAAGAGACTCAAAAGGACTACAAAGAGACTCAAAAGGACTTCAAAGAGACTCAAAAGGACTTCAAAGAGACTCAAAAGGACTACAAAGAGACTCAAAAGGACTACAAAGAGACTCAAAAGGACTTCAAAGAGACTCAAAAGGACTAAAAAAAACAGAATTTTGAGAAAAAATTCAGAATTTTGAGATTTTGGAAAAAAATTCAGAATTTTGAGATTTGGGGAAAAAGTCCGAATTTTGGAGATTTTGAGAAAAATACCAACAAATTCTCTTTTTTTGTTTTGACTACTTCCATTCTTGAAAGGATAATAAATACATGGATCCTGAGATTGAAGCTCAAGCCGGTGACCAGTGAGAGTTTTCCAACACATTATTATGCAACTTAATTGAATATAGAGTGAATCTGTGTATTAAATAACGTCACCATGGACAGAGAGCTGGGCTCCTCCAGGTATTGCTTCAGACTCAGAATCTTCCCGTTCACCTGCAGCCAGAGAAACAGGAAGTCAGGAAGAAAACTGCTAAATATTCTGAAATTAATGAACAAATATAAAACAACTTGTAATGTTCCTGACCTGCAGGTGAGTGCAGATCCTCCGCAGGACGTCGTACACGCTGTCTCTGGACAGCAGCGACACAAACACGTACTGTAATCATAATCATAATATTAATAGTTTAAAGCTCTGTGATTGGATGATTGATGGTGAAATGCATCTTGGGAGTTGTAGATTGCTTGCTGTAGCATTCACTTTAAAAGGTTCATGTCAATTAACAACAAAAAAATAACATCTATGATAGAAAGTTTCTGTGAACTGACGAAAAGTAAGAAAGAAAACTGTGGACATAAAATCTGAAGGAGAGAAGTAAACTACGACTCCCAGGGTGCATTGCAGCTAAAAATAGATCCAATCACAAAGCTTCAAATTCTTAACAGAAGTTAAACATCTGATTAATTTTACAGTCTGCATTTAAAAGGAATTCACTTTTGGATGTTCTGATTTGAATGAGCTCCTCTGACTTAAATCCATTTCTGAGAAATAAACATCATCCATAAAACATCACACACACACACACACACACACACACACACACACACACACACACACACACACACCACACACACACACACACACACACACACACACACACACACACACACACACACACACACACACCACACACACACACACACACACACACACACACACACACACACACACACACACACACACACACACACACACACACACACACACACACACACACACACACACACACACACCTTCTGAGCCGTATCCATGGTGATAGCCAGGCCGTTGGGCACCAGGCCGGCTGTCTTGTGTTTCTTCACCAGACGCACCGACACCACGGGGATACACACCTGCAGGGACAGGGAACACACGCTTTATGGTGAAGGGCAGAGCAAACACTTTCTGTCTCTGCAGGGGTGCAAAGTAACTAAGTACATTTGCTCACTTTACAAAGATATGAGGTCGTGTTTTCATTAATTGAGCATGTCTTTGTTCTGCTACTTTATAATACCACTACTGCACATCATATTAGAGGTACATATCAATATATAGAGTACCTTTTCCTCTTGTACATTTCCACATATAAGTACTTTTACTTTAACTGTCTCTCTCCTATTTGTGTGATAACAATCCTAGTATTTTTTTAACAGGAAGTTTTTCTTAACCTCAACGTGTTTTTGAGCTCTAACGAGTTTCAGGAAGAAGCTTATTTAAAGTTATTTTAAATGTGAAAAAAAGAGTCTTTGAATCTCCTCTCACCTTGATGTCTTTCCCGAACAGGTTAGCGTAGAAACACAGCCAGTTTCTGGAGATGTAGAGACGACCCTGCAGTAGGATGTCCCGCAACAACGCACACGAATACACTGCAGAGTGAACAGGTGATGAACAGGTGATGAACAGGTGATGAACAGGTGATGAACAGGTGATGAACAGGTGGTGAACAGGTGGTGAACAGGTGGTGAACAGGTGGTGAACAGGTGGTGAACAGGTGGTGAACAGGTGGTGAACAGGTGATGAGCAGGTGATGAGCAGGTGGTGAACAGGTGGTGAACAGGTGGTGAACAGGTGGTGAACAGGTGATGAACAGGTGATTAACAGGTGATGAGCAGGTGATGAGCAGGTGATGAGCAGGTGATGAGCAGGTGATGAGCAGGTGATGAGCAGGTGATGAGCAGGTGATGAACAGGTGGTGAACAGGTGGTGAACAGGTGGTGAACAGGTGGTGAACAGGTGGTGAACAGGTGGTGAACAGGTGGTGAACAGGTGATGGACAGGTGATGGACAGGTGATGAACAGGTGATGAACAGGTGATGAACAGGTGATGAACATGTGATGAACATGTGATGAACATGTGATGAACATGTGATGAACATGTGATGAACATGTGATGAACATGTGATGAACAGGTGATGAACAGGTGATGAACAGGTGATGAACAGGTGATGAACAGGTGATGAACAGGTGATGAACAGGTGATAAACATGTGATGAGCAGGTGGTGAACAGGTGGTGAACAGGTGATGAACAGGTGATGAACAGGTGATGAACAGGTGATGAACAGGTGATGAACAGGTGATGAACAGGTGATGAACAGGTGATAAACATGTGATGAACAGGTGATGAACAGGTGATGAACAGCTGATGAACAGCTGATGAACAGGCGATGAACAGGCGGTGAACAGGCGATGAGCAGGCGATGAACAGGCGGTGAACAGGCGATGAACAGGCGAAGAACAGGCGATGAACAGGTGATGAACAGGTGATGATGAACAGGTGATGAACAGGTGATAGACATGTGATGAACAGGTGATGATGAACAGGTGATGAACAGGTGATGAACAGGTGATGAACAGGTGATGAACAACAGGTGATGAACAGGTGATGAACAGGTGATGATGAACAGGTGATGATGAACAGGTGATGGACAGGTGATGAACAGGTGATGAACAGGTGATGAACAGGTGAAGAACAGGTGATGAACAGGTGATGAACAGGTGATGAACAGGTGATGAATAGGTGATGAACAGGTGATGAACAGGTGATGAACAGGTGATGAACAGGTGATGAACAGGGGATGAACAGGTGATGATCAGGTGATGATCAGGTGATGAACAGGTGATGAACAGGTGATGATCAGGTGATGATCAGGTGATGAACAGGTGATGAACAGGTGGTGAACAGGTGATGATCAGGTGATGATCAGGTGATGAACAGGTGAAGAACAGGTGATGAACAGGTGATGAACAGGTGATGAACAGGTGAAGAACAGGTGATGAACAGGTGATGAACAGGTGATGAACAGGTGATGAACAGGTGATGGACAGGTGATGGACAGGTGATGAACAGGTGATGAACAGGTGATGGACAGGTGATGAACAGGTGATGATGAACAGGTGATGAACAGGTGATGAACAGGTGATGAACAGGTGATGAACAGGTGATGAACAGGTGATGAACAGGTGATGGACAGGTGATGAACAGGTGATGGACAGGTGATGAACAGGTGATGATGAACAGGTGATGATGAACAGGTGATGATGAACAGGTGATGATGAACAGGTGATGATGAACAGGTGATGAACAGGTGATGAACAGGTGATGATGAACAGGTGATGATGAACAGGTGATGATGAACAGGTGATGAACAGGTGATGATGAACAGGTGATGAACAGGTGAAGAACAGGTGATGAACAGGTGATGAACAGGTGATGAACAGGTGAAGAACAGGTGAAGAACAGGTGATGATGAACAGGTGATGAACAGGTGATGAACAGGTGATGATGAACAGGTGATGAACAGATGATGAACAGGTGATGATGAACAGGTGATGAACAGGTGATGAACAGGTGATGAACAGGTGATGATGAACAGGTGATGAACAGGTGATGAACAGGTGATGAACAGGTGATGAATGAACAGGTGATGAACAGGTGATGAACAGGTGATGATGAACAGGTGATGATGAACAGGTGATGAACAGGTGATGAACAGGTGATGATGAACAGGTGATGAACAGGTGAAGAACAGGTGATGAACAGGTGATGAACAGGTGATGAACAGGTGATGAACAGGTGATGATGAACAGGTGATGATGAACAGGTGATGATGAACAGGTGATGATGAACAGGTGATGAACAGGTGATGAACAGGTGATGATGAACAGGTGATGAACAGGTGAAGAACAGGTGATGGACAGGTGATGAACAGGTGAAGAACAGGTGATGATGAACAGGTGATGAACAGGTGATGAACAGGTGATGATGAACAGGTGATGAACAGGTGATGAACAGGTGATGAACAGGTGATGAACAGGTGATGAATGAACAGGTGATGATGAACAGGTGATGATGAACAGGTGATGATGAACAGGTGATGAAGAACAGGTGATGAACAGGTGATGAACAGGTGAAGAACAGGTGATGATGAACAGGTGATGAACAGGTGATGAACAGGTGATGATGAACAGGTGATGATGAACAGGTGATGATGAACAGGTGATGAACAGGTGATGAACAGGTGATGAACAGGTGAAGAACAGGTGATGATGAACAGGTGATGAACAGGTGATGAACAGGTGAAGAACAGGTGATGATGAACAGGTGATGAACAGGTGATGAACAGGTGATGATGAACAGGTGATGATGAACAGGTGATGATGAACAGGTGATGAAGAACAAGTGATGAACAGGTGATGAACAGGTGATGAACAGGTGATGAACAGGTGATGAACAGGTGATGAACAGGTGATGAACAGGTGATGAACAGGTGATGAACAGGTGATGAACAGGTGATAGACAGGTGATGAATGAGCAGGTGTCTCACCCTTCATGAGGATCTCCTCTTTGGGGACGGTCTGGAACAGTTTGTGGTACTGAGAGTTGTACTTGCTGACAGTCTGTGGAGAAAACACGAGAGAGAAAGTTATTAAATACAGAATCAAATGTTGTTTCTCAAGAAAAACAAGCTGTCGAAAAACTTTGAATATATTTCCTTTTTTCAGGAGTCTGACTTTAGGACTTTTAAGGCTTCATTATTTGAATATCTTACAAGTATTACAGGTAGTATTACAGGTAGTACTACAGGTAGTATTACAGGTAGTACTACAGGTAGTACTACAGGTAGTACTACAGGTAGTACTACAGGTAGTATTACGGGTAGTACTACAGGTAGTATTACGGGTAGTACTACAGGTAGTACACCAGGTAGTACTTGTGCTGAAGGATCTGAGTACTGCTGCACAGAGCTTTGTTTTGTCTGCTGCTTCGTGGGTCATGGGCTGGGTTTCACTTCTCTTATTTTTCATTTCCTCGCTCTCGGTCTCGGTATCACCGGAAGTTGATTTGTCTGCGCCATCTTGAGTAGCGTCCCAATGGCCTTATTTCTGCCGGAGGAGCGAGGAGCGAGGAGCGAGGAGCGAGGAGCGAGGAGCGATAATGGAGGAGCGAGGAGCGATAACGGAGGAGCAATAACCGAGGAACCACCAGACCACCCTCCGGTGAAATCCTCAGCCACTCGCCCCGCCCCCCTTACTGTGTATCGCTCACTGATTGGACGATGCAGCGCATGCACTGATCTGATGCTTCTTGACATGAGAGCAGTTTCCCAGCGGAGTGAAGAAAACACATGAAACTCACGGGACTCACTCCTCAGTTCATACCGTGTTCTGTTTCAATGAATGCATCATTCAGTTACAAATATGTGATATATCTGAACAACAAAGTGGACAAAAATCCTTTTATTCATTTATTGGAAACATTTTCGTGATCGCTTTTTTCGTTTTACATTTTCATTTATTGTCATTTCCATTCAGTCAGTCATTAAGTGCTATTTAACATGTTAATGTGCTACATATCCACACAAACAGACAAAGTGTGCAATCCAATGAATGTTAATCTAACTGGGTTTTGATAGATAACATATCTCTCTTTCTTCTCTCAATTATTTTATTTATATTGTGCACTCTAATCAATATTAATCTAACTATTGTTCGTTTATACATTTTAAGAATGGCGTTTATCTTTTTTGAGAATGAGTTCTTATTTTATTTTATTTATTTGGGTCTACAACAGATGATACAAATGTGTGTGTCAGTAAATGTGTACTAACAGAGGCGGGGGTGTTTGTGAAAATAACGGGGACAGAGCTGCTGTCAGACGATCAGCTGTGCGGCGTCATCACAAACGGACGTCGCTTCACGTGACGCTCCGGAGGAAAGGACTGTGGGTGTTTCTCAATGTCGAGTAAAGCTGCTCCAGAGCCACTATTTCAAGCATACTACGTCATCGAGTGCCGCCGAAGTACTGTTCCAATCTCCAGCATACTTGGAAATCTACCGAGCCCGGCGTACTCCGTTTGGAGAAATATCGAGGCTGCACATGAGTAGACTCCGCGGTCTTAA